CTGTGGTGGTGTGGGCAGGGGGCGGGTTTCCGACTGGTAGGGAACGCACACTTCTCCAGGCTGCTCCTCGTGAGTGGGGTTCGCATCGGATCGGATCGGGAAGAACGTGCGTGCCTGTCTCCCCGGCTAGCTGCGTGGGTTTGGGATATGCTGGGCTTTGGTCTCTGTCTGGTCGGCAGGTGGGACTTCAGATGCTGGCACCTCTGGCCTGGGGCCCTGGACCAGTCACGTTCCTCTCGCACCCTCCGAGTGCTCTGGGTTCGTTTCAGAGTAGGGAGAAAGAGGTCCCTGCTGTCCAGGCTGGCGGGAAGCCCCCGCGCGGCTTTCAATGTTGCATCTGCGACTGTGATAAAGTGCTACAGTATAGCGAGCACTGCTGCGGTTACTGTTACTGGTATTATTATTATTTTGCAGTTCAACTTCCTGAATTGCTTTGCCTCGCTCTTCTACATTGCCTTCGTCCTGCAGGACATGAAGCTCTTGCGCCAGGTAAGCGCGAAGGACAGGGAAGTACCTGAGTAAGGAAACTGTGGGTTATTGTTGGTTCAGATAGTCTTTTAAGTTTTGTGTATTTGTAAGCTTAATTCTAAATTAAAAGAGCAACTAGCAATTAAAGATCCACAGCTGAGTGGATCTTACTGCATTGACAGGCACGTAGTTGACCCTAACCTTCTTGCAAAATCGATATGTAGGGCAGTCAGGGTCATTATGTGCTTCTCCTCCAAGCTCGGGAGAGCAATTCTGAGAGCACAGATACACTCGTTACTTGAACTCTGGAGTACGTCTCAAGGTGGAAGGTGTTGCTGTAACTTTGAACACATCTTACAGATTTTATTTTTATTTATTATTTTTTAAATTTTTATTTATGGTTATTATTTCTTCATTTTCTCTAGGGCACATGCACTCATTGGAGAGAGAAAGGGAGAGAGGAAGGTAGTGTGAGAGGGAAGCAACGAGGCCGGGGACTCCAACCCTGTGTGACCCACACTTTAGCCACCACGTCACCCATGGCCCCCAGATGTTATTTTTAAATGAACACGTTGTCAAACTTGGGAAACCAGTGGCTCCGATGCTGTCTAGGGAAGTCTGATGCCTTCCGGTGTGTGGCCCCTTCTGGATCACACCCCCCAGTGGAGAATACTGCAGTACGGATTGTTGGTTTCTGAGCTCCCTTTCTGTCCTGGAGCCGGGTTACCAGTAAAGGGCTATCCTTGATCTCAATACTCTGAAATCGCTACGCGCAGGGCCTTGACGCCTGGGCTCTCTAGTGCGTCTGCCCGAGCATTTGGGATGGTTGTGCAGGAAGTTAATCAGCACGTGCACACCCGTGTGTTCAGGAGGTTTCCGACGTGAGCCCGAGCCTTCCCGTGAGGGCCAGCGCCCGGGGCTGTCCTGCGTGCTGCTGCCCGGCTCCCCGGAGCTCGCCATGCAGTCACGTGCTGCACAGTCATCGTGCGCTCCGGTGCTGCTGGGCCGCACCACCAAGCGCTGCTCTGTGCTTCTCCTTAGAGCCTGGCCACTCTCCTGATCACCTCCCAGATCCTTAACCAGGTCATGGAGTCTCTCCTTCCTTACTGGCTCCAGAAGAAGCACAGCGTGCGGGTGAGGAGGAAGGTGGAGGCCTTGAAGGCGGACGTCGACACTACCTTATATGAGCAGGTCATCCTGGAGAAGGAAATGGGGACCTACCTGGTGAGTGTGGGGTCGAGACCGTGGAGGTGCTGGGATCTGTATGCTGAGGGAGGAGCGCCAAGGCCACCCCACGTCGCACGGCTGTAGGTTGTGCCCCAGGTCCCACTCGCCAATGCGACTCTCGTGTGAGGGCCTTCCAGTTGTTTCCTCGCCATGGGCCACTCCGTCGGCGGAGACAGAACAGGGTGTCGAAGTGCGCTGCTGTCCTGACCCTGAAGCTGTGCCTCCCACACCAGGAGCGAGGTGGGAGATTTACCCGACCGCTCTGCCCAAAGGGATGCGGGAGTCCCACACCGGGAGCGAGGTGGCAGATTTACCCGACCGCTCTGCCCAGAGGATGCGGGAGGAGCTGCTCCAAGGACGGCAGGGTATCGGACAGTGGTCCCTGGAGGGGCAGCAGCGTTGCTCGCTCTTGGCATGGCAGTCCTTGGAGACAGTGTTCTAGCACAAGCTGGAGGCCCCAGTGGGAAGGCAGAGTGCTGTCTGAAGATTTGCTCTCAGTGTGCATCGGCGCCATGCGTGTGACACGGGTCCTGTGAGACCGAGAGTTTCTCAGTGATGTTTGGGAACGACAAGTTGATTTTGAGCAGCTGGTCACTGCTAAAAATCTAGCCCCGTTTGGGGACCTAGCCCATAAATCTGGCCATGTTTTCGACAGATGCTTCCTGGGCTCCGAGGCCTTCCCTGTCTCTCTATTTTGGGGTCTTGGAATCACCTTGCTCCAGGTGTTCTCATCCCGCGACTCCCTTCTTGGTGTGGTGTTTCCTCAGCGAAATAGATCTCCCGGGGGCTCAGTCTGCGGGATCCGCCCTTGTTCCACTCTCCTGGTCGCACTTTTCATCTTCCGTTAACCTCTCTCCACGTCCGTGAGAGCTAGCTTGTGGCCCATCTCGAGCAGGAGTCTGCCCCCCTCCTCTGCTCACGTCTCCCTGCCTTACGCTCCTCTGTGCCCATGGGGCCCCCGGGTCTAGACCAGAGCCTGGTGGTGTAGCCCAGCGCTCCCACCTTGCAGTGACCCCACCCAGGGCCAGCAGTGACGCACGTGCTGGCAACATGCCGGAGCTCCTGCAGCAGGTGGGGCTTCTCTCAGTCCCCATTCAGGGCAGGGGACCATCGTCCCAGCC